AGAAACTCACATCAAGGGTGTGTGTCATTTAACTCTCCTTAGAAAGCTGAACAGATCATGAGATGTGAAACAAACCCAGTAAAGTGCTGGAAATCACTGGGGAAAATAACTGGTGCTATGTCAAAAAACTAAAGCAGAAAATTCCCATTTTATGGCATCACCATCTTAGTTATCCTTGCTTGAAATTTTAGCCTCCTCTTTGACGTCTCATCAAATCACCAAGTTTATTTGGCAATTGTTATTTATTGGTACTGAGGATTGAATTCAAGGGTGCTCTACACTGAGCCACACCCCCAGTCCTTTTTATTTTGTAACAGGGTCACACTAAATTGCCCAGTTTGGCCTAAAACTTGTGATCTTCCTGCTTCAGCCACCAAATCACTGGGATTGGTGGGATTACAGGTGCCTAGCTATAATTGTTCTGGAAACCCCCTTTTAGTCCCACCACCATTGCACCATTGGTTATAATCTCACCTAGAATAGCTTCCTTTTTTTGGTACTGGGAATTGAACTCAGGGAAATACTCTACCACTGAGCCCCATCCTCACCCCTACTTTGTATTTTATTTAGAGAGAGGGTTTCACTGAGTTACTTAGTGCCTCACCACTGGGATTACAGCTAGCTTTTTTAAGACTTTATTATTATTGTGTGTGTGTGTGTGTGTGTGTGTGTGTGTGTGTGTGTTGCTGAGGATTGAACCCAGGGCCTTCTGCATGCAAGGCAAGCACTCTACCAACTAAGCTAGATCCCCAGCCCTACAATAACTTCTTAAGTAGCCTCCTTTGCCCTTGGTCTGGCCCATTTTCACACTACCACCAGTACTTTCTAATAGTAGAGAATGATATATGTTACTCCTAATTAAAAGCCTTTAATTAAAAAATAAATAAAAGTCTTTAATTATGCAACTAGCTACTGAATAAAATCCAGATGATTAGTTTGGGTTTCAGAGTCCTGTACCAGCAGTTTGGGAGGCTGAGGCAGGAGGATAGCAAGTTTGAGGCCTGTATCAAAAAAAGAGGACGGAGAGCTGGAGTTGTGACTCAGCGGTAGAGCACTTGCCTGGCATATGTGAGACCCTGGGTTCAATCCTCAGCACTGCATATAAATAAATAAATGATCCATTTACAACTAAAAAAAAAAAAGAACTGGGGATATAATTTGGTGGTAGAGCCCCCCTGGGTTCAAACCCCAGTACCATAAAATTTTTTTAAATAAACTTCAAGGTACTCCAACCCAACCTACCTTCACAATTCACCTTAACAAGGGCTTTTCACCTTTTTTTTTTTTTTAAAGAGGAGAGTGAGAGAGGAGAGAGAGAGAGAGAGAGAGAGAATTTTCAATATTTATTTTTTTTTTTTAGTTTTCGGCGGACACAACATCTTTGTTGGTATGTGGTGCTGAGGATCGAACCCAGGCCACACGCATGCCAGGCGAGCGCGCTACCGCTTGAGCCACATCTCCAGCCCCAGCTTTTCACCTTTTACCTGCAGCCAAGATACTATATTTTGGATATTTAGGGTTAGATAAAATGTTAAAACTTCCAGGCTCAGTGATTTATGCCTGTAATCCCAGCAACTCAAAAGACTGAGTTAGGAAGATCACAAGATCAAGGCAAGAATGGACAACCTCAAGAGACTATGTCTCAAAAAAGGACCCCTGTAATCCCAGCAGCTCAGGAGGCTGAGGCAGGAGGATCGCCAAGTTCAAAGCCAGCCTCAGCAAAAGCAAGGCACTAAGCAAGTCAGTGAGACCTTGTCTCTAATAAAACACCTAAAAAAAAAAAAAAAAAGGTCTGGGGATGTGGCTCAGTGGTAAAGTGTCCCTAAGTTCAACCCCCAGTAGCCCCCTGCCTTTTACCTCCAAAAAGTGTGTGTATGTATTTGTACACACACACACACACACACACACACATTTTTAAACTTCTTTCACCTAATTTTCTTTTTTAATATAGTTACTGGAAATTTCAAATATATATGTGATTTACATTATATTTCCACTGGACAACACAGGTCTAAATTCTTCCTACAATTCATAGCTCAAATTCCACCTTTTTCCATGATGAGTTCTCTGATTTAACCCTGTAGCTAAAAATATCCCATAGCCCTCTTACTTGCACATCTCTTATATCCATTACTTTTTACCCTGAGTTACAATTATTAACATAATATCTACTTGAGTTTTAGTTGTTAAGGACAGTACTTAATAAAGTACTGAATAAATAATTGCCCTTTCACTAGCATTGTGAACCAATAAAAAAATCAACTTCTCTCTCTCCCCCTCTGTCCTCCTCCCTCCCTCTCCCCCTCTCTCCCCCTCTTTCTTTCTCTCCTCACCCTCTTCCCACCCCCCTTCCTTAAAAAAAAAAATCAATGTGGATATTGGGTGAGTGAGTGAGTGTTTGATGAATAATTTTAAAACATCCATCTGGGTACAGTGACACACATCTATAATCCCAGCGACCGGGGGAGACTGAGGCAGGAGGATTGCAAGTTTGAGGTGAGCCTCAGCAACTTAGTAAACTCTGTCTCAAAAATAAGGGCTGGGGATGTAGCTCAATGGTAAATCACTCCGGTTCAAACCCTAGTACCCCACCCCCCACAAAGAAAGGAATATACCCATGCATGACCAAACCCCATTGTTTTCATAATACAGACACAGAAACCTGGACAAAATATTTAATCAAGTGAGTGCAGCCATTTTTAATAGAGGACATGTTCCCTTAAGGATACACCAAAATCTCCAGGAAGGCATAAAGTGTTTGGCTTTGGTTTGGCAGTCTGGGGGTTGAACCCAGGACCTCACACATAGGCAAAGTGTTCTGCCACTGAAATGTATCATTGTTCTTTTCATTTATTTTGAGCCAGTTGCAATGGCACACACCTGTAATCCCAGCAACTTGGGAGGCTGAGGCAGGAGGGTCACAAGTTCAAAACTAGCCTCAGCAAAAGTGAGGCACAAAGCAACACAGTGAGACCCTGTCTCTAAATAAAATACAAAATAGGGGCTGGGTATGTGGCTCAGTGGTACAACAGTCTTGAGTTCAATCCTCAGTACCTTAAAAAAATAATAATAACTTTATTTTGAGACAGGGTCTCCCTAAATGGCTCAGGTCTCCCTGGAACATGTGGTTCTCCTGCCTCAGCCTCTAGAATCACTGGGTTTGTATGGAGGCATATACCTGGCATAAAGTTTATTCAAAGAAGTGCATATTTCAAGAGACAAAAATACTGCTCTGATTGGAAAATTGAGATTACTGGTGAAATAAAATTTGATGTAATTTTCTATAAACTATATAATAAAATGTTGTTAAATATGAAAAAAAATACTGCTCTGAAAGACCCCATACAGCCAGCCACAGTGTCACATGTCTATAATCCTAACAGTGACTTGGGAGGTTGTGACAGAGGAATCACAAGTTCAATGCTATCTGCAGCAATTTAGCAAGACCCTATCTCAAAATTAACAAAAATGACTTGGGGCTGTTTCTCCCTCTGGAGTTGGCCCACATTCTCCCTTGAATGTATATTCCTTGCTTTACCCAAAACCACCTCACAGCCCATATTTACCCTAGAAGTACCCTCTGCTTTCCTAAATAAACCTCTAAGTTGTAATGTGGTGATGCATGCCTATAATTGTAGCAACTCAGGAGGAGGATAACAAGTTTGAGGCAAGCCTCAGCAATTTAGTAAGGCCCTAAGCAACTTAGTGAGACCCTGTCTCAAGTTAGAACTGGATTAGAATGGCTCATATTAAATCAGAAATAACTTGAATACAAGGGAGATGGTGACACGCACAGAAAAGGAAAACAAGGAATAGAGATTTATAGATTTCATCCCAGTCTATAGACTGAACAAAACAACTACAACTGACCAACTATAACTCAGTGATAAAGCATTCCTACCCCTGGATTAAATTCCCAGTACAATTTTTTTTTTAATAAAAAGTTTCTTGTTTATGTCTTTGGGGGAAAAAAAGCAGGGGAGGGGAGAACTGGGAATGTAGTTCAGGAGTAAAGCATCCCTGCATGGGTTCAATCCCCAGTACCAAAAGAAAAATTGCAAAAGCCCCACACAGCTGGGCACAGTTGCAGATCCCTATAATCCCAGCTATTTGGGAAGATCAGGCAGGTGAATGCCAAATTAGAAGCCAGCCTGAGAAATTCAGCAAGACCTTGCCTCTTCAAAATAAATACAAAGTCCCACAACAAAGTCTCATAGTGCTCAGCAACACCTAACTCAACATTTACCTGATGTGTCCTGAGCCCTGAGTAGCAGACAATGTAGAGGTAAGTTAAACACCACCGCTACCTTCCCAAAGCCCACAGTCTATGGGAAAGGCAGACGTAATTGTTTATTCACTTAGTATTTATATTCCACTGTTCTAAAAAGGGATTAGAACTGGCTCACACTTAATCAGAAATAACTTGAATACGAGGGAGACGATGACATGCACAAAAAAGGAAAAAAAGGAATAGAGATTTATAGATTTCATCCCAGTCTAAAGACTGAACAGCTTTAAGGTAGAGGTTGGATGGATGGGACTTAAGGGTGGAGAAGAGGGATGAATTCATTTCATCTGGCCGCATTCCCTCCAGCTCTCCACATACCCAAGTGTGACTCACTCACTATTCAGTTAGAATTAGAAACAGATACCTAGGAAGGAGCACTGAAATACTTGGGGTTAGGTTGGGTTGGTTCAAATACAGCATCAGTCTCCTCTTCTAAAAGATGAGAATGCTTGTAGTATTAATGTAAAGATCAAATGAGACAGTTGGTGTGAAAATGCTGTGTGAACTAAAAGAGAGCAAGTAATTTCAGCTCCTAACACAGGCCTGACTGAAGGAGGTGAATGAAGAATGGAGTCAAGACATGAGTGAATGGCCCCAGAGAATGCATTGTTCTTCCTACACAGGATAGTATCCTCCAAGCCCAAAGACATTAGATTCTGACCACCCTCTCCTTCCTGGTAGAAGACCTCTCTTTCACAACCAGTGGGCCTACCTTGTACTGCTGCACTTCTTCATCTCGTTTTTGCCTCACAAGTGTGATCTGGTCCTCCAGGTTCCTGTTTTGCAGGTGGAGCTGCCGGGCCTCTGCTTGCAGGGGTCTCAGAGCCTCCTTCATCTCCTGGATCTCAGCCTGGGTTTTCTGTAGAGCTTTGGTCCCTGCTTCTTTCCTCTCCAGGAGCCGCAGCAGCTGAGGTTCATACTCCTCCTCCAGGCCCTGGCGGTTCTCTGCCATGAGATTTTCAAACTGGGCAGACAGCCGGCGGCTTTCTTGGATAAAGTGCCCATCCCTTTGGTTTGGAGGTGCTTCTAGTTGTTGCCTTAACTGCTCCTTCTGCTTCTGATAGGCATCCCGGAGTTGGGCCAGTTCCTCCGAGAGCTGGGCTGCCCTAGTAGTTAGCACTTCCCGGAAATCAGCAAACTGAGCCACATCCTGCTGGCGGCACTCCAGCTGGTACTGGTAGGCCACACATTCCTTGGTCACCTTGAACAACTTCTGTTTGACCAGCCGGATCTCCTCCCTGAGCCCATCCCTCTCCAGCTCTGCCTGGGCATGCAGCTTGTAGGCAGCCTGGATGTCCTGATGGACTTGCTGTACCTCCTGCAGAGCTGGTTCCCGGAGCAGCACAAGTTCATGGATGAGCTGATCCCGCTCCTCTTCCAGCTGGGCCACTGCTTGCACACACTGCTGGAAACGGCCCTCTAGCAGTTCCAGGTCTGCCATGCTTAGGTTGTCCTCTGTGCTGGGGCTTAACCCTGCTCTGAGGCTCTCCTCAGGGCAACATTTCTCTTCTTTTGCCACCATCTCTCCATCACAAACAATCAGGCCTGGGCTGGGACTCTTTGCTGGCTCTGCAGTCTGCTCCACAAACTGTATCTCATCTGGCTTCACAGTCTCTTCCACATATTCTTCTGGACTTGCAAGCTCTTCCACATACAGTGCCTCCTCTGGCTGCCTGGGCTCCTCAATATAAAGTGTCTCCTCTGGCTTCTCTGTCTCTTCTACGTAGAGTGGTGTCTCTTCAAAGTCTCCTGTGTCATCAAGGTAAAGAATGTCTTCTAGGTTCACAGTTCCCTCCGAAGATAGTGTAACTTCTGGGTTCACAAAGAAGTAACTTCTAGACTCATTCCAGGATTCAGGATTCTCTTCTTGAAGAGGAGAATTGGACTCTGCTCTTGTTTCTCTGCAAAATAAATTATTTAAAGTGAAAGGGGAGCTGTAGTTATAGCTCAATGGTAGAGTGCTTGCCTAGAACGTGTGAGACACTAGGTTTGATCCTCAGCACCACATAAAAATAAATAAAATAAAGGTATTGTGACTATCTACAACTAAAAAATATTTTTTAAATAAATAAATAAAAATAAAGTGAGGGCTGGGGATATAGTCAGTTGGTAGAGTGCTTGCCTCGCATGCACAAGGCCCTGCATTTAATCCCCAGTACCACAAATAAATTAATTAATAAAGTGAAAGGGTTCCAACTATGGTAGGATGGTTTTTGACAGAACCATCAGCCACAGGTCAATTTTTTAATGTTTTTATTAGTGCATTATAATATACATAGTAGTGGGATTCATTTTGACATTATCATACATGCATGAAATATAATTTGCTCCATTTGAGTCCCCAGTGCTTCCTCTTTCTCTCCCCTCCTCCCTCTCCCTATTCCCCTTCCTTTACTGGTCTTCCTTGTTTTTATTTTTTGTTCTTTTAATTGCTGCTTTATAGATATACATAAAGATGAAATTCACTGTGGTACATTCATATATATACAGTAGAAGACAGGAAATAATGGAGATCAGAGCCAAAATTAATAAAATTGAGAATAAAAAAATAATACAAAGAATCAGTGCAACAAAGGGTTAGTTCTGTGAAACAATAAATTCCCTTATCTGGTCCCTTCCCTCTATTGATCTACCCCCTCCACACACAGGGTCCATTGTTTTGATCCCCTCATAGCACCCCCTCAAAGTCACTATCTCATCTCTGTTTACATAATTTAAAGGAGAGGAAACTCACACTTGAGCCTCTACTATAATTGATACTAAGATTGATAAATCCTTAGCCAAACTAACCAAAAGAGAGAAGACTCAAATCAACAAATTAGAGATGAAAAAGGGAGATATCACCACAGACACTTCTGTAATCCAGAAGATCATTAGAAATCATTTTGAAAATTTATATGCCAATAAATTGGAAAATCTATAAGACATTGACAAATCTTTAGACAAATATGAGCTGCTCAAATTGAATCAGGAAAATCAGATCAATATCAAATGAGATTGGAGCAGCAATTAAAAGTTGTGGCTCAGAGGTAGAGCACTCACCTACATGCATGAGGCACTGAGTTTGATCCTCAGCGCCACATAAAAATAAAATAAAGATATTGGGTTCACCTGTAACTTAAAAAAAAAAAAAAAAAGTCTTCCAGGGCTGGGGCTGGTACAGCACCTGCCTAGCATGTGTGAGGCACTGGATTTGATCCTCAGCACCACATATAAAAATAAATCAATCAAATAAAGCTGTGTATCTATATACAAGTAAAAAAAATATTTGAAAACAAAGTCTTTGGGCTGGGGATGTGGCTCAAGCGGTAGCACGCTCGCCTGGCATGCGTGCGGCCCGGGTTCGATCCTCAGCACCACATACAAACAAAGATGTTGTGTCC